GGAGGAAAACCTTGTCACATTGGAGAAGCAAGAAGCCAGGCTGTTGTGCAAGGTCCAGTGCAGAAGCAGAATATAGAGCTATGGCACCAAGGAATATGTGAACTCCTATTGGTTGCGCAGAGTTAATGGTAAGGTTTAAAAGTTGGTTGATAACAACCCAAATAATTATCCTTGGTTTGTGATAGTAAAGGGCAAAAGCCATCTAGTATTATGAATAATCAAGTCCGCATGATCGAACTTAAGCACATAGATATATAGATCGTCACTTTATAAAAGAGAAGATAGTTGAAGGCCTTATAAAGGTCTCCTATTATAGCTTCAAAAGAGCAACATAGCCGATGTTTTCACGAAGGGTTTGAATAGCAAACTGTTCATTCTTTGCGTTTGACAAGTTGGGCATGATAATATCCTAGCCAACTTGAGGGGGGAGTGTTGAAAAAGGCTTTTGTATTAATTATCAATATGGTCTTTCCTAGGATGTGGCACAAACCAACTTATCCTCTGGTGTACATTGTAATTGTTCCAGAACTCTCGATGTCCCATCTAACCAATACTCAGCTCTTTCTAGACTGTCATCCTTGTTAGCACTGAATTCTTTCGCCCCATATTTCCGAAGCTTCTCTAGTGGGGGCTTTCTTTTTCTTTCTACTACTATTGGTGCTTGAGGCATAACCCCTGCAATCTGTCGAAAAGTATCCGCAAGTTGCTTTAACAACATCTCTTGACCTGGTGCTACTGGAGCCTCACCCTCCACTGGCCTGGAGGCGTGTGACTCACTCTCACCTTCCTGTGACATTATAAAAGAACAACAACTGCAAGATCAAGCCATTAGATACATAGATTTAAAATTAAAAACACAAAAAAGAAACATAAGAAGAGAAAAAGAGAGAAAAGGAAAAAGAAACGTTTATTGTAACACCCCTTCCCGGTCCACCCGTAAACCCGAATGAACCGGACCGAGACGCTACAAACTGGTTGACTGTATGGTCTAACATGCTGAAGTCATAATGTATATTGAATATAATAGCATGCTGGTACTGTATATAAAAATAATGTAATTTATATTTACAAAACATGATACAAATGTCAAAATGAAATGGGCCCAACTGAGTGCCCTGTACATGCCATAAAAAAAGGGTAATAAAAAGGGTAGACAAAAGATACATATTAAAATGAGTTGCTACCCTGAAGACTGAGTCTTCTACAGATGAACTGCAGCAGTTGTAAGCTGACTCTCTACTGGCCAATCTCAAAACCTGCGAGTTAAACAGGCAACTCGCTGAGCAAATAAAGCTCAGTGGATATCTCAACAGATAAAGAAACAATTAAACACATCCATAGATAGAAATAAGCATGTAAATGCATGTGGATAATTAAACATATAAGCACATATAGCTATAGCATGATCCTTCATTATACGTTGATTATCTTATTGTACTATTGTAATCAAGTATTGATCATGGGGAATGTTTATGTCCAAGATATCATGTATGGCTTCCAATAAGTTATTAGTGATGGAACTGAAAGTGATAAGAAAAAACTGTATGAAACTGGATTGAATACTGTATGCTTGGCTGCTATGGCCATTAATTCATATTCACTCCGGCCTGTAGCCGGAGTATCAACTGTAATGGGTGCAGATCATTGCTATCCTTATGTCGCGACATAGCCTTTCATCTACATGGTTTTACCTAACCTCAATGGAAGGCATAATGTTGGTATGTCATAATATAAAACAAACATCATTTCATAGCTCTAACTTCATAATTCATAATTTATTTGATTTCACATTCATTTTGCATTGCTTGCGTGTTGTTTGATACATGTTCTAATGCTTAGGATTGATGTTAAAATGAGAGGCATATAAGTGAAGCAAAGAATAACAATTGCATTTGAAAATGAAGTCCAAAAATGCATGAAAACACAAGTCGCGAGCGCGCCTTGCAAGGTCGCAGAGCCGCGTAAGCCACCAACTGAGAGACAGTGAATTATTCGGGCCACAAGTCGCGAGGCGCGTACTTGAAAAGTCGCGAGCGCGAAGGAAGTGCCAAAATGGAGAGACAGTGAGTTCTAGGCCAAATTCGCGACGCGCGCGATCGAAAGGTCCGCGAGCGGGCTTACAGGCCAACGGGCCAAGTACGCGAAAGCGTACTTCAACAAGCCAAGTACGCGAGCGCGCACTTCACAGTCTCGAGCGCGAGATGTGCCAAATGAGAGTCAGAGAGTTTGCGAGCACAAGTCGCGACAGCGTACTTGAAAGTCGCGAGCGCGAGATGTGCTAAATAAGAGTCAGAGAGTTTCAGGTGAAAGTCGCGAGCGCGTAGGTCAAATTCGCTAGCGCGAGAAGGCAACGCGAACTCATCATGCAATTCGCCCGCGCGCTTCCAGCCTGCACTATCTGTACTCTTTTGGTCATATCTCTCCATATACAACTCCAATTTGGATGATTCAAAAACCCATGTAAAGCGCCTAAACATAGAGGAACAAAATAACTTCTTCTATGACACTTCCTGTAATTCCATTCATTAAATGGGTCAAAATCAAGATGAAATTACTGCGTAAAATTTCAAACAAAAACCTTGTTTCAACATAAAACTCAATATTCACTTCATTTAATTCAATACTTCTCCTGTCTTTCCCCCTGTTTTCTCACCATTACCAGTCCTCCCACTCACATAAAGCAATATGGTCTCATAGCAACACACCACACAAATCTCATACAAAGAAAATGGTAAAGAAAAAGAGATATCAAACCTTTGCTCCAAAAAGCTTGAGCTCTTCTTTAGCTTCTTGTTTCTACACTCTTAGAACTCCCTTCACCTATAAATAAGAATTCTTATGAATTCTAAAACAACTCCTATACACATCAGAATTCTTATAAATTATCTACAATATAACTCAATTAGAGGTTGAATAACATCAAGCTTCAAGAAATTCTACTTACTTGGAGAAATAAAGGTTGACTTAATGCTTAACTATCGTGAAAATGGATGGAGAAAGGAAGGAGATGAAGAAGATGAAGATAAAGATGAAAATGGGAAAGTGAAATGATATGCACGGGTAGGCTCTAAAATATCAATGACTTTGTGTGTAAAAGTTCTAAATGGTACCTCAATTGTAAGAAGGTTACAACTTAACACCCAAGCTGTATGTTTTAGTGCAAATAAATCCTAACCTACTTTGATCTTCTTTCTCTCACGTCAAGTAACTCCACTTTATTACACCCATTCTTACCCCAACCGCGGTTTTGGTTCAACTCGAACTCAACTCGACTAGTCGACTCATTTCTAAGACGGTTTGGTTCAACTCGACTCAACTCGACTAGTCGACTCTATTCTAAGACTCGACTCGGTAGGATGTCACATACAGATTAAAAAAAAAGTGTGATTGACTTTAAACTTATTAGAAAGGAATTTTATTTGATAAGCATGTGATTTGAGAACTGTGTTAAATTATTGTTCAAATAAAACTATTTAGAAATAAATATATTATTATTATTATTATTATTATTATTATTAAAATTATTATTGTCATTTGGAATCACCAATTACATGTATTTTCTTCTCATGTATACACACACACGGGTATACGTATTATACGTGTCAAATTTTCTAACCTATACAATCTATTTAATTAAAGTGGTTGCATTTTAATCCATTTATGACCCATTTAATTAAGCTGGTTATGTGTATCGTGTTCATCTCACCCGTTTAAATTTTCTATTGTGTTGATATTTAAATATTTAACACGATTATTAAATTAGTTGTGTTCCTATTGGCTTTAATCATGTCATGTTTACGTGGGTTCGTATCGAACTTGATACACCAGCTTGTTTTCTATAAACCCTAAAACAAAATGAACAAAATTTAAAGCTAATTTCTAAGTTACAAATCAAATAAACACTGTAAGGCAACTATTTCTATGTAAAAAAACAGTGTCTGCACGACTTCATACTCAATACACCAAACAAAAACTTGAACAAAAGCAAAAACGAAATTTTACCTGAGAGATTTCACTTTCGAAGCATATAGAACGATCGATTGAGTGTTTTTTCCACTCAATCGATTCAAAACCTCCAATGATTTCATTTCCTTCAATTTTCTCTCCTCACAATTTTGGCAATTTCTTCTCACCCTTCTCCACTTTCTCGATATGATTATTCACTTTCCCTCCAATGAAAAAGTTTTTTTTTTCATTTTATTATAAGGGGGTTAGTTTGGTCATTTCAATATCAGCTCGACGGAAGATATACAAAATCCACAAAAACATGCATTTATGTAATGGAAGTATAATATAAGGATGCTAAAGTCACCTCCAAAACCTTGAAGGAGGTATGTGTTACTATGGCTATAATTTAGGGAGGCGTTTTTTTTTTTTCCCCTTTCCCTATCTATAAGGATCCTAAGAGTGTAATTGAAAAATTTAAGAAATTGAAATATTAAAAAGATTGTCTTTTTTTCTTTTTTATTAGTTTGGTCTCAAGGCGAGGCCATAAGCCCGGTTTAGACAAATATTTTTCACAAGGTTTCAGCAAAATAAAATGTCTATTACAGCCAACAATCATGTTTATTTTACTAGTAATAAAAGTACCACCAGTAAATTATTTTCTGTATCTATGTCTTCCTTGAAAGAGTAGGGATGCTTTGCTCATTCCTGAAGAAATTCTCTGGATCAACAGCAGTCTTCACTTTAACTAATCTATCATAGTTTCCATTAAAATACTTAAACCCATAAACACTACCAGCTTGATAACTATTTTTACCAGGCTCCATAATACCAATATCAAGATCTCTATAATTCAAAAATGCACTTCTTGGATTCTTCGACACAAATGGTGTCGTAAAATTATATAATTCCCTTATTTGACCCAAATATTCACTCTCTGCAGCATTTCCTTCATCTTGCCAACTCATTGAATACTGAATTTTATACAAATTTCCGGCACGGTGAGGGAAAGGGGCATCAGAGGCTGGAATTTCAGCCATTTTGCCTCCATAAGGATTGAAAACCAACCCAGTTTTGCCCAACTCAATCATTTTTGTAAAAATCGAACTAAGCCCAGTTTTTGAAATTGGGTTTTGCACATAATCTGATTTTCTTTTCAAGAACTCTGCAGAATTGAGATCTCTGTCCAGAAGAGCATTAGGAGAAGTAGCATTATCAATAGCCCACCAAACAACAGAATCAATCCAACTCATTTCACTGCACTTCTCTTTCTTTAACCCTAATTCAGGCAATTCTTTACTCACTCTTTTCTTTAACCCTAATTTCAGGCAATTCTTTACGCAATGAACTCACAAACACTATCTGCATTCCATAATATAATTGCCACAATAGTAAATCCTAATTGTTTTTGACCTTGTTATCTTTGAAACTCACTGCTGCACTAACATTCCTCATTTAAAAAGACCAAATTGTCAATTGTCGGAGCAAACTGATTGAATACTATAAACAAGATTCAATAGTACTATTATCTTCAATCAATATACTTTTCAACCTAAAAACTGTAACTGTTTCAGGAACAGAAAACAAGGTTGAATTTTATAAGGAAAAACAATAAACCCAAACTCCACCACCACCCCTCTAATTGCCCAAGAATAAATTCCTCACCCATTTGTTTCCTATCCAAACAACCTTACCATTAAACATCAACCCATTTGTTTCCTATCCAAAACCTTACCATTAACATCAACAATCACAGCATCAATAACATTATCAACAGCTAACCCATATTTTCTCAACATATTACCATACCCACCTCCACTAATATGGCCGCCAACTCCAACAGTGGGACAAACCCCAGCAGGAAAGCCATGAACTTTACTCTTTTCCCAAATTCTGTAATATAATTCACCAAGTGTAGCACCGGATTCGACCCAAGCAGAGTTATTCGTTACATCAACATTAATTGATCTAAGGTTAAACATATCAAGAATAAAAAAAGGTTCATCTGAATAATAAGAAATTCCCTCATAATCATGGCCTCCACTACGGATTTTAAGTTGATAACCAACTTTTTTGGTGCAGATTACAAATGATTGGACATGGGATACTTGTTTTGGAGTTAAAATGATTGAGGGTTTTGGAGTTGTTGATTTGTTTAATCTAGCGTTCCTAATGTAGGATCGAAGAACTGAAGTGTAGCCTTTGTTGCTTTTTGTGTAAACAAGATTTGCGATTTGGTCATTTGGGTTTGTATTGTTTTTTAGGCATTGAAGGAAAGATGCATAGACTGCATCATCTGTAGCGGCTGCAACTGTAAATGAAGAAGAAAGGTTGAAGACAAGAATAAAGACGAAAGGTAACAGATATGTCGTTGCTTTGGGCATTTTTTTTTTCCTTGGCTTAGCAGACGTAATGGAAGAATGAAGATATATATATAAGATTTATGGATATAGGGTATGGTTTCTTCTGCATTATGGCTGTTTAAATATGGTTTGGAATATATATATATATTTAAATATTGTTTAAAAATAATTAAAATCTATTTTTAAAATAATATGCGCATGATAAATTATAAAAATTATAATATAGTTATATAATCTTTTAAACTTTTTTTTTTCCTCGTAATCAAGCTAATGAAGATAATATTGAAAAAACGGTATTTCTGACTATATATGGAAAAAAAAAAGATAAAATAATTTTTATTGGTTTGGTTTATGGATATGGCCATGGTCTACCTGGGTAAGCATAATCTTTTAACTAAAAGTCTTTTTCAAAACATGCTCTAATCGGAAATGATGGAGAATATATGGAAATTTGTTTAAAGCAATCCTTATTTTTAGAAAGTAATTTATTTTTACAAAATATTTTCTAAAAAAGTATTTTCCGAATTAATAACTCATTTTTCATTATTTGATTTTAAAATTGAAAATTAATTATAAAATATTAAAAATTTTTAACTCATAACACTACATAAAGTTATTTCTAATTATAGAAATGTGGTATTTCAAAATTTTATTCTTAAATAAGAAAAAATTGTATAAAAAAAGATAAATCACCGTGACCGGTAGTAATAGTCGATAGTGGCCGATAGCCAGTGGCCGATAGTGGCGGATGGCCCATACAATAAAGAAACAATATCTTTATATATTTTTTATTTTTCTTTTTTACTCAGATTTTTTGTTTTCTATTTTCAAGTTTATTTTCTGTTTTTCTGTTCTTTTAACAAATTATTACTATTAAAATGGTTATAATTGTTATATGGTAATATATAATACATTTTTTGGATTTGGATACTTTCATATTTTTGCAATGTATCTTCTCCGTAATATATTTGATCAGCATTAAATAGAAAATCAATTATTAATATTTTCTATAAAAATTAAAATCAAAATGTTCTGAAAATGGGCAGTTACACGTTCAAAATGAATCTCAATTCATTAACTTTTAATTAATGGCCATTTAATTTTTTTTTTTTACCGGTTATCATCAATATATATATAAAGCAAGCATTTTTTTCCTAGAAAATTGACAAGTGACATATCACTTGGCAGTTTAATTTGACATGTGGCATATTCTTCCAATTAGACTCAGGCATGGTTTGATTTGATTATTTAATATATTAATATATTGGCTTGGTTTGGTTTGATTTCGATTTATTTTGAATTAGTATTTTTGGTTTGATTGAATTTGATTATTCAATGTATTAATGTATTAGTTTAGTTTATATTTATTTTGAGTTAGTGTTTTTGATTTGGTTTGATTTGATTATTTAATGTATTAATGCATTCGTTTAGTTTGAATTTATTTTGAATTAGTGTTTTTGATTTGGTTATTTAATGGTATTAATGCATTCGTTTAGTTTGAATTTATTTTGAATTAGTGTTTTTGATTTGGTTATTTAATGTATTAATGGCTTTAAATAATTATTATTACTTATTAGTTTTTAAAAAATGATAAAATTTAATAACAATGAATTATTCGATTAATGTATTAATGTATTGCTTTGTAACAAATCTTTACCCTCAAATTTGTGAAGTAACAAACATTTCCTTTACCAACCGTTAATGTATCTTTAATATTTCCGATTTAAATGTTTCCATTTATTTTTTTGTATTTTTAGCAAATATATATTGGTTCCTACTTTGAAATATATTATTCGTATTTTTAAAAAATTCAGAATTTTTTACATTTAAACTATTTTCACTAATGTGGTTAGTAGTTCTTACTCAAACTTTTTTTTCTCCTTTTTTAAATATTATTTAACATGTTTTTATAACCGTAAACAATCAAATCAATATATATATATCAGACAGAATTTTTCTTAGTATTGCCACGTAGGATTCTAAATTAATGATATGTGTATAATTTAATTGTTTATTTTTATATTTATTTGAAATAAATTAATTTATAATTGAATTAGACCGTCTTAAACGTAATTGATTAATATAAAGTTAGAGAATTAATAGTGTGTTAAGTAACAATTTATATAACTTTTAATGATATAAATAAATTACATAATTTATTACATTAATTTATAAATTTTAATTGATATAGGCAATTATTATATTCTATATTAAAAAAAATTTAAAAATTTTTGTATTAAATTAAATTATGTTAAATAAATTGATTTAATATAGTATTAATAAATGATGAGTGAAGAATTTTATTATTTAAAATAAATTATTCAAAAATAAATCAAAAATAATGAATTTTACCACCTTTTATGTACTTTTTTGTTTTCTCTATAAAATTTTAATATTTTTAATATCTCTATAAATTTTAATATTTTTAATTTAATCCATATTCCTGAACACATGCCTATCTACTAATTTTTACTTTAATAATAAAAAATCATGCTATATTTTTTTATTGATATATCTTTATAATATTTTTTAATAGCATAATAAAAGAAATCTTATTCAAAAATTAATAAATTCTATATATATTCTCTCAATTTTACTTTGTTTTACTTTTTTTTATCGTACATAGCACGGGTATATTGCTAGTTATTTTATAATATTTACTACACTTAATTTAATATATCGGATTAACAAATTCGATGCAATATTATGAATTCTTTTACTATTATATTATATTTTTTCTGTTCTTTTATTTTTATTTTGTTAAATGACTGTGTCAGAATTCAATTTTTGCATATTTTTGAGATGTTAAAAGCAAACCATCTATGCCCAATAAATTTGCAAAGAAAAAAAAAATCTGCTTGTGATTTGGTCTAGAGAGGTGGGAGCAATTTTATTTGCCAATTTGCACACCAAGCCTAGTGGTAGTACATACGCTACTTTCACTACTTTGACAATAAATTCAAGTTTGAATCTTCCATCTCCCATGCTCAAAAAAAAATTATTATTTATTAATCGGAGAAAATAATTTATTTCCTATAACTAATATTTCCAAAATTGATAAAATTCGTTTTTAAATTCCTAGCAATTATGTTTAATATATATATATAAAATTTTTCATCTTATGAAATGAGTTATTAATGTTGAAAAATTGAGATTAAAATTAAATAAACCATGTCCAACACAAACATTACAGTTCAATTCGTTTCTCTTTTTTTCAATTTTTTATTATTTTATATTTCTTATTTAAAAAAGTATACTTTTCTTTTATTCTAAAAAAAAAAAAAAAAAAAAAAAAGAGAAAGGGAAAAATAAGAAACCAAAGTAACAATCTGGACAAATGAATTAAGTGAATGAATGAAGTAATATAGTTTATTTTGATTTTTCAGCGAGAAATTCTGGGCAAATGGACTAAATTTGAAAAGAAATAAATTCTAACACTTGATTTATAGAGCATAAAATTAAGACACAAATATATATATATAAAAAAAGGACAAATTCATATATCTCTACACCTAATGTAGAAATCATGCCTTGAATTACGAATGAGTAGAGAAGACCAAAAATCAAACAATTTTGTTTCAATGTTGGAAAACCAATTTAATAAAAATTAATTAAATATGAAATAGAGGGAAATGGTACATGTTATCTTCCTTTATTTTGATCCGCGATATCGAGTTTGTAAATATATATTAATTTGAATATTTTAAAATTGATTTTTATTATTGAGTTTATTATATATGCAATTCATGTTTTCTCATGTTGAATAAATTAAAATTATATTGCATGTTTTGTAAATTTATTATGTTGAAAGAAATAATGCTTTTATATTTTCGGTACAGAACAAGAAAGGATAAAAGTCAATATTGAATTGAATTAATTCATTGATTTGCAAAAATAAGAATAAATTTCAGAATTAAATTAACTCAAAAGGTCAAAAATGATCTTTTTAATTCTTTTAAATAAGTTTAAAAGCCAAACAGTGAAATCTGACTTTTCTTTTTTTTTTTTTTTTTTAAATCCTTCTTCCTTTCTTTTTTTTTTTTTTTTTTTTTAAATCCTTCTAAATAATTCAATCCAAATTGAAACTGAGTATGCATTTTTGCCATTCATAGTAGAGTTGGGCCAAAGAGGAAGCCGATGTGATTGATTATTCATCCCAGAAATTGGTCGCTCGTCCATCTTTTGCAGCCCATTGGAGCCCAGGATATGGAATTTTCATGTGCTATCAATAAATTTTCCACTGAGGTTGGTGATATTTAGGATTAAGCAGAAATCGGTAAAATCGTTTAAATTCAATTTAATTTATAAAAAATTCGGTTAATTTCAATTTCAATAAGAAAAAGAAATTGAAAATTTATTATCTTGCAATCTAGAATATCTATTCAATTACTTCTATACAATCAGTGACTGAGTCAGAAATTAAAGTAGAGGGTTATAAAAAAAATTTTTTAGAGAGACTGGGTACCCACCCTTCGACCTCCTAGCTCCGTCATTGTATACAATCCATTTATAAAGATAATAAAACTGCATTTAAACTAAGTATAATAATTTATGTTCTTATAAAAATATCAACTCCATTGTGCGAGTATTAGGAATCAACAAGCATGCCAATTCACTTAATAGATAGAATCTTTCATATAAAAGCCAATTTTCTTAAAAAAAAAAAAAAAAAGGAAAAGGAAAAAAAAAAAGACCAAACTTAATTTTGAAATTGAAGTAGGCAATTGATGTCTAGTAAATTTATTTATGATTGGCTTGAAAAATGTAAATTTTTTTTAGAAGATTGTCTAATATTCACCGGGTGCTGCGCAGCTCTAGCTACTCCGCCATTCTACTCTTCAAAGCTGCTTCAAGAGATGGAATGCTCTGTTCATATCTAAAGAAATTAAATGGATCAACTGTTGTCTTCACTTCCACTAACCTCTCAAAATTGCCTTTAAAATACTTAATCCCCCATTTTTTAGCTTCTTCATAAGTTTCATTCCCAATTTCATTAGTACCCAGATCAACATCTCTATAATTTAAATAAGAACATCTTGGTGATTTTGACACAAATGGTGTCATATAATCATAAAGCTTCCTTATAAGTTCCAAATTTTTCTCCTCTGCTTCTACACCTTCTTCTTTCCAATTAACTGCATATTGGATTTTATACATATTCCCTTCTCTGTGTGGGAATGGAGTTTCAAATTCTGAAATTTTTGCCATTTTGCCACCATATGGATTTAGAGTCAATACAACTTTTTTCAATTCAATAATTTTCTTGAATATTTGAGCAAGATCTTGCTTTGAGATAGCCTGTTGGACATAATCAGATTTCCTCTTCAAGAATCTCTCTGTTTGACAATGTCTTTCAAGCAGAACATCAATGGAGGTACCGATTGGGTAATTAGACCAAAACAAAACAGATTCAATCCAACTCATTTCTTTACAATCATTTCTTGATAAACCCAATTGAGGAAGTTCTTTCTCCATTAAACCAACTAGTCTCTCTGCTTTTCCAAGAAACAGAGCATTAAATTTAGCCTTAACTGTTTCTTTACCCTTTCTAACGACTGGGTTCAAAACAACTCTTATAAACAAATCATCATCAACCTTATCTGCAATTTTTTGCCAATTATAAACAATATCCAGCCCATTTTCCTCTAATGTTTTTTCAATTCTGAAAATAGTAACAATTTCAGGAACAAGAACTAATTTAATTTTCCAAGAAACAATAACAACAAAACTTGCACCACCACCACCTCTAATTGCCCAAAAAAGATCTTCCCCCATTTTTTCCCTATCCAAAACCCTACCATTAAAATCAATAATTAAAGCATCAACAATCTTATCAACAGATAATCCAAATTTCCTCATTAAATTACCATACCCACCTCCACTTAAATGGCCACCAACACCAACAGTAGGGCAAACTCCAGCTGGGTATGCATGAATGTTACTCTTAGTAGCAATCCAATAATAAACTTCACCAAGAGTTGCACCAGATTCAACCCAAGCACTTTCTTCTTCTATATTAACACTAACAGATCTCATATTAAACATGTCAAGAAGCATAAATGATGTCGTTTTTGAAATATAAGAAAGACCATCATAATCATGGCCTCCACTTCTAATTCTCATCTCCAATCCATGAAACCTGCAACAAATGATAGATGCTTGAATATGTGAAACATGGGTTGGTGTTACAATGAAGAGAGGTTTAGGGGTTGACGAAGAATTGAATCTAAGGTTTCTTATGTAAGATTGCAAGATAGATTTGTAGTTTGGATTTGAAGGGAAATAGGTGACTTGAGAAATTGGTGGGTAGGGTAAAGAATGGGTAGAGAGACATTGGAGAAGAGCTTCCTCAGATGGATCTAAAGTTGCTGTTGTTGTTGCTGTTGCTGCCATTGAAATATGAAACAGAGAAGTTTGAAGAATTGAAAATATAATAAGCAGAGCTTTTCTTGACATTGATGATGAAGATGTTTTGTTAGCTTAGCTGTTTCTTGACTTCGGCACAGAGGTTTTGATTGGTGGCTGTTAAATGACAGTTGTTTGCTTATTTATTGGATTTTTGGAGACTGTTGTTAAAGTTTTATTTTTATTTTATTTTATTTTATATTTTCCAATTTTCTATAGAAAATTTCCAAATTTTCTGATGTTGATTTGACAGAACATAATTAGTAATTGCAAAGAAGTTTCTGTAATGCCATATTCCTATCATCAATTATTAGCTAAGCTAGTAATGTCAAAAAAAAAAAAAAAAAAAAAAAAAAAACATCTACATTTATTAGCAAGCTAGTAATTGTTCAAACAAAAAAAAAAAAAAAAAAAAAAAAAGAGCTAGCTAGCTATATGAGAAGAGTTGTTTCTAAAAAAAAAAAAAAAAAAAAAAAAAAAAAAAGAAGCTAAGCTAGCTAATATTAGAAGAGGTTGTTTTAAAACATTTTGGACTTCTCTTAATACTTTCAAAATGGAATACACATTTTATGTCTAGTTTAGTGGATCACCTTTTGTTTTTGTTTAATTAGAAACATGTTATCCTTTTTTTTTTCCTAGAATTAGATCACTTTTTATTGTTAAGAATCCTAGCATATAAAAGACATATAAAGATGGCAATAAAAGTGATAAGTTAGCTGGCTAATCAATTAATATTAATCTTTTAGTACTCAAGTAAGCCCATATCATATATTTTCAGTTCATTGGTTGGTTCTAACCTCCTACCTAATTCATCTCTACCCTTTTTAATTCTAATATAGTATCAAAACACCTTTACCCTTTCTACTTTTAATATAGTATTAGAGCAGATTTTGCTCGCTCCAGTTATTTCTACTTTTAATATAGTATCAGAGCAGATCTTACTCGCTCCAGTTATTCCTCAGTTCACCGGTGCCAACGAGATCCATCCAATTTTAAGGACAAAAAGTTCCAATTTAATTTCACGGGGAGAATTTTATGTTTCAAGTGTCAACCGAAGTTCAATTCCGGTTGCATTTGAGGAGAATATTAAGAATCCCAACATATAAGGGTGACAGTGTTAAGAATCTCATTTTTAGCATTAATTGACCCAAACCCAAATAAGCCGATATTGCATATTTTTAACTCATGGGTTCTAACCTCCTTTCTAATTCACATTTATTCTTTTTACTTCTAATGTTTATCAAATAAGACATAATTAAGATATCTATTTACATTATTTTTATTTTTTCTAAAAAGAATTACTAACATTATTGCAATTTAAAAAACATGAAAACAAAAAGAACCATTAAACATAAAAAATTGCAAACTAAATAAAAATAAAATGGCCGAAATCTATAAGTTCTAGTGCCGCAAAGGCAAAGCATGATGTGCATTAGCAATAAAAATTGTCAGAAAAAGTCTTGTCGGTGGAAATACAATGCATTAGCAATAAATCTTTCAAATTTCATCAATAAATTCTTTTTACGTCTATTGTTTTCTTCATCGTCCTATTCCATTTCCATCACCAAATTAATATTTTTTTTAATGAATATTTTCCTTGAAAGTGTTGACAAGTCGCTGTAATTTTTATTACACTAAAAAGTTGGACGTTTACATCGCTTTTCTGTTAGTATATATATATATATTTGGAAATTAGTTTTAATTCACCTATTCATCCATAAGTTAACTCGTTGCCAATTTGTCATTCCTTTTTTTTTTTTTTTATCAATGAACACTTTTGGTGTTAATCTATCATTATTTCATTTCGAAGAAGTTAAATAAATTTTAATTGTTTTCGGTTTAAATAATAATTTATTAAATAATATTTGAGTTGTAGGGTACAAGTGAATTATTGGACTAGAGGCTACAATTTATTGAATCTTAATTTGATATTATTTGGTTCGAACCATGGCTATAAAGTTAGAACTAATCGATTAAGTAGCTGGATTTAAAACTTTATATGCCATTATATATTTGGTATTTGATTAATATTGGATTCGAACTTTAACTCTCCTCTTAAGTGCAACCGAGAGCAAGGTGATATTTGATACTCGAATCCTCCTTTTGTAAGGCAAAGGTGAATTACTCGTCTGGAGGTTAGATTCCATTGACGAGTAATTTAGGTTTAATCAAATTTGGAAAAACTATTGTTAAAATGTTGCAGGTAGTTAGTTGACTTTTCACCCTTATATGCCGAGGGACGAAGCCACGATTTATAATTAAGGTGGCAAAAATTTTAACATTTTTTCCATAAAAATAAAATGATTTATAACATAAAAAAAATTCCAATAGTTAAATTTACTAATTAACATGAAACATTTATAACAACATTTACATTAATAAAAGTTACAAAATAAAAAAAAAAATTACAATTGTTCTTTACGAGTCTTCTTGCCTTGACAACGTCGCATAACCATTTCATTGTCAACTTTATCAAAAATATCTTTCTAAAAAAAACTTCACGCAATTCTTCTTTACGATGTTCTTCTTGCCTGACAATCGTCGCATAACCATTCAATTGTCAAAACTTTATTCAAAATATCCTTTCTCAAATATAAGTGATCAAAACAATCAGCCATCCATGATCTCCCAATTCTAATTACGTAATTATTCTCACAATGTTCATTTGGCAGAAAAATGCTCTACTTCAAACATATGCAGAAATGCAATAAGGTAAGACAAAAGCCATTCTTCACAATTTTCATGGCAGAAAATGCTCTTTCAACATATGCAGATGCAATAGGTAAGACAAAAGCCAACGTTATAAGCTTGTAAACTAATGGATTCAAAATATGTTTCTCTGCCTTTACCATTTTCTCAGCAAGATCACCAATTCCAATCACATTTAAAAACTCGGAATTGGACTTCGTATTAATGATATATGAACATTAAGTTGGACTGATGAAAACTCAATAGGATAACACTAAGCAAGACAAATCAATTTTCCTTATCATAAGCAATGAATAGATCAATCGGATTCAAGCATGAAACACATATAAGTAACTCTGTATTCACTTCATTAAAACGACTATTGAGCTCTTGGAGTTGTAAATCTATCACAACATAAAATAGCTCCACTTTGCAATGATGCATATTTGTCATTTTTTCTGCATTGCGTCGAGATCGTCCTCAAAGGATATGCATATCATCCATGTCAAGAACATCCAAGTTATTTTTATTACAAAATAAGAAAACTTCATTTAACAAAAAGTCTCATCCATCATCTCTCATAATTTGCAATTGTTGCTTAGCTATTCTAACCAAAGTCATTGCATTCACAATATCTTGATCCTTTCATTGTAGTGCTCGTGACAATTCATTAGCAATTCCTAATATGTTTCACATTAGATGAAGACAAAAGGCAATGTCAAACGATTGTAATAAATCTAATAAAGTGCAAGCTTCAACACTTTGCGCTGACTTTACATTTTCCATGACAACTTCAAGAACATCAATAACAGAAGAAAACATCTTTATTAAGCTAATCAAAGTATGATAATGTGAATCCCATCTTGTATCCCTAGCCCGTTTCAAAGTAGATTCTTGATTTTTCCCTTGTCCACTCTCAAATTCACCATTTTCAAGTGCTTTTAAAACTTTAATAAATTGAGACTCTATAAGAATGTCATGCCGTTTGCAAAAGCCCTTAACAATATTTACAACATTTGTCACCAAAGTGAATAAAAATGCTAGACATATGATTTTTTGCAACAGCAATAAGTGCTAACTGTAGTTGGTGAGCAAAGCAATGAACATAAAATGCACTTTCATTCTCTTTTAGAATTAAATTTTTAAGACCGTTAAACTCACCTTGCATATTACTTGCCCCATCATAGCCTTGACCGCGTATTTTGGAAATGCTTAGCTTATGTTTGGCAAATAATGCTTCAATTGCTCCTTTCAGTGATAAAGCAGTAGTGTTTGTGACATGCACAATGCCTAAAAGGCACTCAATCACTTGCCCTTTCCTGTTCACATAACGTATAACAACTTTCATTTGCTATTTAGTTGATATTTCATGAGCTTCATCCACTAGAATAGAAAAACAAAACATCGCTAAGGTCTTCAATGATGATATTGATGGTTTCAATAGCAAAAGCAATGACAATATCTTTTTGAATGTTTGCAGATGTCAATTTAAGATTTCCAGGACACTTATTAACAGTAACCCTTCTGATATCTTCATTATGCTAGCCAAGAAACTTTAAAGTTTCCAAAAAATTTTCTCGATTTAAAAAATCACATGATTCATCACGTCCACGGAAAGGCAAGCCTTGTCTTGAAAGAAACCGAACACAATCAATAGATGCATTTAAACGAACTCGATAATCACTTCGAGCTTGACTTGTTTGCTTATTCACAATAGTTTGAAGGTGTTATTTTTGATTCATCAAAACTTGACAATTATTCCAAGCTTTATTATGAGCACTATTAGGTCCACCAACATGCACTTGTAATTTTTCTTTTTCCAATTAGTAAACCTTTCCACAACAAAAGAATCACCACTGCCTCCATGTTCTTTGCTATTCGATCTAAAAAAGGTAACAACACAAGCAATAAACCGCTCCTTTTGTAATACTATATTCTAACCAAGTAGGATTTTTTCATCAAACCAAGATGGATTAAATCGCCTCATGATGTTACCTTGTAAAGTTTGTTTGAAATCATGAAAACGAAGTTGACAAGGCCCTTTTTGTAAATATGCTCTTCTAATTTCATCTTGAGTATTAGGATGATAATCCATGACTGGTATTTGTAATCCTGGATCTGCTGGAAGATTATCACTTTCAAACTCGAAGCTACTCCTTTTTTAATTTTGACATTCTCTATCATGATCTTTTTATTCATGAGTAGGTGCTTAAGTTGATTCAGGTTCAGAGATAGATTTTCGCTTGAAATATCTTTTCATGACTTAATAATAATCAAATAATATTCCTACATTGAGTAAAAATGTAATATATGATTAGAAACTTGCCTTATAGTAGTATAGATTTTTTTTTTGCTTAAGTTGATTCAGGTTCAGAGATAGATTTTCGCTTGAAATATCTTTTCATGACTTAATAATAATCAAATAATATTCCTACATTGAGTAAAAATGTAATATATGATTAGAAACTTGCCTTATAGTAGTATAGATTTTTTTTTTTAAAAAAAAAAAAAGAATTAAACAAGCAATCAATTAATCTTATACATTTATACTTATACGATTCAAGTCTAGTGTTTACTAAATAATTATTAATCAATTAATTTATGACCAATTAAAAATTTAATACCAACATTCAAGAATTTAAGATAGCTGAATTTTTTTGCTTTGCCTTTGGAGATTCAAGGAAAAATTCTAGGAAAGACAAAGTTGAAGTAGTATCTAATATCTAACATCTCAATACATCATCATCCATTCATAGTTCATTCTTTGTTGAGTTTTTCCATTCAACAAGAAGTCCAAAATCATCATCTTCATCCTTCAATTCAACATTTCAAATTATAATTACAATTCAACAAAAAACACAGATAGATTCTAAATCCTAAAATCTTCAAATCTATGTAAAAAAAATTAACTAAAATTATTACAATAAATACACAATTAACATCTAAGAAGAAAAATTCAAAAGCTTCTAAATAAATTCAGACATGAATTGATGAATGAATTGAAAAAGGAGCAAAAATATATTACATGAGAACAAATTTTACATTTAGAAAAAGCTAAAATCTAGGCAATACAATATACTAATTAAAAATAAATAAACATACCTTTTTTTTCCTACACAGTAACACGCCACGTCTCCAACAATCCAGTAAATCCTTCCAAGCTTCAAGAATGAGTAACTGAGTTGGTAACTATTCCTTATCCTTGAATTGCAAATTGGAGTCAGCAGTGACACTTGTCTATTCATGTTAAATAAATTTGGACTTTTGGATTTCCTTTGATGTTTAACTTCTTGGATAAGCTTAGGTAAGTAAAAATATTTTATTAAGTCTTTTTTAATAACTAATGTAATTTATTTTTACTTCAGTAATTTTTTTTTTTTTTTTTTTTTTTTTTTTTTTTTTTTTTTTTAAGAAAAGGAGGGGGCAATTGCCCCCTTTCTTTAATATGTGTCTTCGTCCCTTATGCCCTCGTATATTTCGTGTGCAGAATTCTAACTCTCGTGCAACTAAGAGCCACATAATACTTGAAACTCGAAATCCTCTCTACAATGTTGAATCGACTAGCTCTAACACCATGTTAGAATATTTGAATGAATATTATATCTTTCCAAAAAAAAAAACAACCTGATGAGAAACTCTTAAATGCTTAAAAGTAGAATCACATTATCTTTACCCTTTCTCTCCTATACCATTCCCCCAAAAGAAAAGCATGTGAGACCCAGGTTAGTTTTCATTTGTTTCCTCATTTAAATACAATTGAACAAAGAAAATACAACTAAAATATTTAAGAAGACTATAATTTGGATTGGCATAATGAAAAAATATATGTAAAGAAACGTTTTCCAAAATAGTAAAAGCAGTGTGATCAATTGTTTATGTGGTAGCAAGAACAACCTGGATCTTTCCAGAGGGATGCAGGTAAAGAAGCAGAATGCAGTAGTTCATTTGCTATATTTATATATATAACTCTTCGCTTTCATACACTTATCCTAAATTATTTTTCTAGTCGCATCGTCAATTGGTTCCAATTAACCTTATCCCATTTTACATGAATAATGTATAAAGGTTGAGAAAATTATGAATTTTCTAAAATCACACAAACATTATGTTCCAACTTCCTACCCATTCTATATACGTTATTCTATTCAACTATATATTGAAAAATTAGGTTTAAATTTGTATTAGTACTATTAAATTAAGAATTGATAATTTTTTTTTACTTTGAAAAATTTTGACATATTAGAGTAAATTAATTGTTAAAAAATATGAAATATATTTGTCAGAAACTATTGAATTGTTAAATTGTTTGAGTGTTTAATTGTTGTGACAATTCATGCATAAAAAATAAATTTCACTCTTTATCAAGTGATGAATTTTAGTCGATATATATAAAATAATGAGAATATTTCAAAAATGACATTGAATAGGCTCTTCAAATTATTGGTCCAGTATATAAATCCAAGTAGATTAAAAGAATCTAAAATAATAATTTTTTACTAAAAATTCAACCTAAATATATCTTGTCAACAACAATAAGCAGAGGGGTGAACAGCCTGCCAATATAAACCTCCATAAGAATAGCAGAATTGATCATGATGAGCTTACACCAGCTTCTAGAGAAAAAATGGAGAAAGGTTGCACATTCTTTTTAAGAACTAACGGAACCTAAAAAATTGAAGGTTGTTTTTTTTTTTTTATTATTGTTGTAGAATATATCTTTTTCTAATCTAATAAGACAAAATTATATATTCCTAACAGGAAAAATCGTGGAATATTATAAAGATTTAAATTTCTGAAATTGATGTATTAGCTGAGGTATGGCTAATTAATTAGCAATCTATGGACAAAATAGAGGATTTTGGCAAAATATAAATTAAGTTAACCTTGTGCAACATATAATTAATGTAAAGTTCATTTGAAATTTTTCTTCATATTTATATTTTTATTAATTTAAAATTCTGTGCAACATATAATTAATGTTGTATAGTTCATTTGAAATTTTTCTTCAATTTTATATTTCTTATTAATTTAAATATTTTAACTATATTATAAGTATATTTATATATCATAATTTATCATTTGATATATATTTTCTAAGTGGGTTTATATTTTCTATTTTATTATCAAACAAAGAATCTCTGATAAACATATTCTTCACTTTTATTCAATTAAAATTTTATAGACATATATCATAATTTTATATTTTATATATTTCTAGTGGGTTTTATTTTCTATTTTATATCAAACAATAAATCTTATAACATATTCTTCACTTTATTCAATAAAATTTTAGATTTAAATAGAAGACCAAGCAAAATTAAATAATTCAATCAATCAAATTAAAATCTTTAATAATATTTTTATCAATTCAAAAACTTAGTAGGAGCGCTTTTGACAATCCTAATATTCTCCATCTATTCTCAATTTTATATATAATATAGGTAGATTGTAGATAGATGTAGATATTAGTTTCAATTCTTCTAAAGCAGGTTAATTAAATAAGAAGAAAGAAAATATAAAGTTCAACCCATGCTATATATTTCCTGTAATGGGTGGAAGATAGAATGTCAATATGGTGTGAAAAAAAAAAAAAAAAATTCAGAAAGAATGAAGAGAAAATTACAGAAGTAGGCCTTGCACTTCTAATCCCATAATAGCTTGACCTATTAATATTTTTAAAAATATTTAATTATTGAAAATGAGAAAATTCAAATCTGAATATATTATTAGGTCATATATGTACTTACCACTAGGCTATATCTTAATATGCTTAACCTATTAATTATTAGTTGAATTAAACAATTAATTTGTGTGTGGGACCACCCATATACCAAGTCAATTGAAAAAAAAATTTTTTTTTTTTATCTTTATTCTAAGTATATGATAAGAAATATCCAGGTTTGTTTAAAATATTATTTTTGATTGATTTGGTGAATAGGGTGTCCTTGTACACCAGGTATAGATGAGTCCTTCCGTACACCATTTTCTTTGATTCCAAAATTTATAATAAATAAAATATAACTCCAAGTCTAAATTTCTCTATATAAAAAAAAAAACTCTAATACACATTCTCAATCTAAAAAAAATAATTATTCTGGAATTTAAAATTAGTTATATATTTAATTAATAAAAAAATTATATATTAACTATAAAAACAACAAAATACATTAAAATGCAAAAATGGTACTCAAATTGAAATATAATGTTTATCACACAGGCAAAGATTTACCATACATTGTTTTTTGTCAGCAAACAAAATATTTTATTAATTTTTAACATATGGAGGAAAAACTTAACATTTAAAAGCAACTAAACCCAAGTCATTAGGCGTACCAAAAATCCCTAATCTAGCCTATGAATGCAAAGTGAAAAAACCTGGAACAACCTGACCATACATAAGTAGAAAATAAAAAACTCCAAAAATTGTAATTATTTAACATCTTTCTTCTAGGGTTCTTAGAATGAGTCTCTTCGGATAAGAGAATTTAAACTTCCAAGCATTAAAAAAACAAAGATATTTAATACAATTAATCCTTCCAGAAGACTACAAAGAATTCTTCCATAACCAAGGTGGTAGCTGCAGCAAAAAAGGAAACCAAAAGAGTAACTGAGCCGTTCAAAACCAAGCTATAATACGGACCACCTTATCGACCCCTCCCTTAGCTAAATGATCTGCGAAAGTGTTTTTGGATCTGGGAATGAGGGAAAATGAAAACCAGAGAGAGTGAGGAAAGTATATTATCTATTTGATTAAAATGAAGCCACCATTGCCATGGTCTGGCAGTTCTGTTTGAAGCCCACGCAATTGCACTTTTAGAATCAGATTCAATAATCAGTGGATTTAATTTGAATTGCGAAGTACTAAACAGTTTAAGGGCAAATAAGACTGCTAATAGCTCAGCTTCGTTGGAATCTGTAATACCTGTGCTTTTAGAAAAAAATGCAAAGGATGTTTCCGTTTGAATCCCTTAAATTTCCATAGATACCTGCAGGTTTTCCTTTTGATGAGCCATCTATATTAAACGTGAGAAAGCCTACTCTAGGACCATTCCAATCCGTTGAACCCGCATTATTTCTTTTCCTTGATTTAGAAAGAATGTTGCAATATTTACCAGAACAGGCAAAATAGAACCAGTCGCTAAGACAGTAAGGAAAAGTTGGGAATTTTACTTTAATCAATTCGAAACAACTCATACTTAAAATCCGATCAAATTAAACAGTTAAAGCAAATGACTTTATTTCTTCGATTTTCAAATCAAATCATCAAGAATCGGAAATTATAACAAAAGACCACTTGTTTATACTGATTTGCACACATTCTTTCCTGAAGCTTCTTTGCATACAGGAATACTTTGTTCAAACCTAAAAAAGTTCTCAGGATCAACTGCTGCTTTAATAGATATCAACCTTTCAAAATTCTCCTTGAAATAACTATGTCCATAAGTATCTGCTGCTTTAAATGAACCATTCCCATTGCTACCAATGCTTCCAAGATCGAAGTCGCGATAATTTAGAAATGACTCTCTTGGATTTTTCGATACATAAGGAGTCATAGCTTTATAAAGCGATCTTGTCAAGTTTATATATTTTCTTGCAGTTGCTGCATCTTTTTCCTTCCAGTTACAAGAATATTGGATTTTGTATAAATTCCCCTTTCTATGTGGAAATGGAGTATCGGTTTCCGGAATTTCACTCATTCTTCCTCCGTAAGGATTGAAGGCCATTCCTACTGCTCCATTTTCAATCATAATGTTCCAGATGTTTTCATAATCCTCTTTAGAAATTGGTTCCTGAACAAAATCCGATTTTCGGGCCATATAACTAACAGATGCTTTGTTTGTCCTGTTAAGTAATGTTTCAACAGGAAGACCTGGTTTCATTCCAACCCAAATCATTGTCGACTCGACCCATCTCATTTCATTACAATCCTCTTCTTTTAAACCTAATTCCGGAAAACTACCACTCAATAAAGTAAGCAATCTTGCCTTATCGCCTAAAAACATACCTACAAACACTGCCTTAACAAATTTTTTCTGATCCTCTCCAGTCCCAGGCATTAACATTGCTCGGAGAAACAAATCTCGATCTAGTTTATCAGTTGCAACTTCTTGCCATTTAACAAGCATGTCAATAGCACCCCCTTCTTTAAATCTGTCCACTTGGAAACAGGTAACTTTTTCCGGTACCCAAACAAGTGCAATTTTCCAAGAAAGTATTACTCCGAAATTCGCTCCGCCTCCGCCTCGGATAGCCCAAAATAAATCTTCCCCCATCGACTTTCTATCAAGAATTTCACCTTTTGCATTAACTATTTGTGCATCGAGAATATTATCAATAGAAAGACCATATTTTCTCATCATATTACCATAGCCACCGCCTGAAAAATGTCCTCCGAGGCCTAATGTAAGGCAAACTCCAGCAGGGAATGCATGAACATTACTTTTATTTGCAATAGCATAATAAAGTTCGCCAAGAGTTGCACCTGCTTGAGCTGAAGCAGTGTTGCTTGGTATATCAACATTGATACTACGAAGATTGAACATATCAAGAAGAACAAAAGGAACTTTTGATGTATACGAAAGTCCATCGTAATCATGGCCTCCACTTCGGATTCTAATCTGTAACCCTAATTTTTTACAACAAATAACAGTTGCTTGAACGTGAGATTCATGTTTTGGTGTAACAATGATTATAGGTTTTGGGGCAGATACGAATATGAGATTCTTTATGTAGTTTTCGAAAGTATATTTGAAGGAAGGATTATCGGGGCCTATAATGGCATCGGAGATTGGATTTTCTTTAGAATTCTCGTTAAGGCATTGGGTAAAACTCTCAACATTAGGAGCTTCATCTGCTGAAGAAACTGAGATTAAAAGAATCGAAAAGAGAGAAAAAGCTGATAGCTTCATTTTCTTTATGGGTATATTGATCAAAGATTTTGGTGTTTATTTATAGAGGAAAAATTCACATGCTAGTTGAAATGTAATTATGGGTAAAATATAAATGGATCCCTAACATGTGTACAAATGAACACTTAAATTCTTCTACATTTAATAAACAACTACAGTATCCTTAACTTATACTTTATCTGACTATTAGGTCTTTTTGTAAAAAAAGAAAAAATTAAATTCTTTCAATGAAAAAAAAAAAGCATATTACATCTAAATAGTGTGTCCAATTAACGACGAATAGCTCATTTTTTAGATTGAAGAACTTAATAATGAGACGGAAGTATAAATTATGATAGTTATAATTATTTATTAAATATAAAGAGATTTAAGTGTTAATTCAAATATAATTTAAGGGCTAGATTATATTTTACCCATGTAATTAAGTTGTAATCGTCCTGTTTTCTTTTCTTTTCTTGGCAAGTAAATGTTTTTTTTTTTTTTTCTTTTGAGATTTTTCCAGATCTACAATACCAAAAATAACGCTTTGTCCACAAAAATAACATTTGACCCCACAATAGCTGTGCCATTAATAGCAAATACTATATTTTGTTTTATGACAACAGTAAATTATAGATTCTTTTTCTTCCAAAAACATTACCCTACCCTTACAATAAATAAATTCCATAAAATTTTATAGAATTAATTTATAAATTTAAAATTTTGTGTTCGATATAAAACAACTAAACACAATTAGATGGAGAATAATGGGATTTTCGATAATACATTTAGTGAAATTTAGAACATGCTATAATAACCTTAGGCATAGCTAATTAAAAAATTACATTTTGTTAGATAACTGAATATAATTTATTAAAATTATTTTTTAAATAAATAAAAGTAAATGAGAAAATCAAACACAATTACTCTTAACGTTTTTTTATTCTCACTAACCAAATAGAAATAAAGTATATTTCTATTGTTTATACTTTGCTTTCTTCTATTGTTGCTGAAGTATTTTTAAGTTCTTTAAATTTATATTTGTTTAATTAACGTTATGAATTCCAATAACATTGACCTTTATTTTATCAAATATTACTTAATTTGAATTATAACTCACGTATTATAAACTAATATTGTGATTTTTATTATTATTATTATTATCAGTGTTCAAAATTATTTCCACCATCTTTCATTTGTTTGCAGGGCCATTTAATTTTGAGGCAGGGCAGCAAAAAGGAAGCCTGCCCATATTGCATCTGAATGCATAGAGCTGGTCTAAGGTGAATTAAAATTACATACAGTTTTTTTAATGGTTCTAATTAACTTAAATAAAAATTAGACTTTAATTAATCCACTATTTCCACCCTCTAACCCTTAGACCTTGTATGTTAGAATTATTAGTAAATTTTCCTTAATAGTTAATTCAATGTAATAAATTCTGTAGTTATTAAAACATAGTTGTCCATATCTGGCTCTGGTAATCATAATTAGAATAAAAGCAATAAATAAAATTCGTCGTTATAGAAAAAATAGAGCAAAGTTAAGAATGGTGTTCAACTTTCAAGTTTAATTTTATATTTAATTTCGGAATTGGTACATTTTACAAGACAAAGTGAAATACAGAAGATAGATGCGTGGTTGTTAGTTTTAGAATTAGTAAGTGTTCTGGTAATATATGTTGCTTGTTTCTTTCTTTTGTTTTCTTTTCTTTTTTTAATAAAATATATTAGCTATGCTTTTATTTCGTCATGTGATTGTACATTCTTGGTTTGTAGGCATATCCTTTTTTTTGTCATTCCCGTGCCTCAAGTTCTATCGCTACAATCTCGCCTTCAAGAACAAGTTGGTGAAAATACTGGTGCTCGGATTCATGAGATATTAGAGCAACTGGTTATAACAGCAAATTGCAAAATACCAGAGTTTAGAGCATCCAGGCTTTTTCAGATACTTACACAAATAGTTTGGGTGATGGTACTATTTAGGTAGATTTGAGTTGCTTTGTATTTAACAAATATAAGTTTAATGAGTATCTATGAGACATGATCTTTTTTTTTTTTTTTTACTTGTGAGACAATTTTTGTTGTTTTATATTTTCAATGTATTTAAAATTTATATTCATTTTATTGATTTTCTTTATTTGATTTTAAATTAATTTTATTATGAAATATATAAATTATAAAAGTTGAGAACATAAATAGAATATTAACAAATATGAAATATTTTAGAAACTTAAATGGATTTTATAAGCCAATCATAAACTTAGAAACGGATTTGGAAACAAAAATGGCAACGATTCAGATTACTTTTTTCATGGATGTTAGAAACAGAAATCAGTAACGGATATAAATGTTTAGATGCATATATAGAAACGAACTAGCAACGGTTTAGCCACGAAATGAAAAACAGATTAGTAACGGTTTAGTAACGAAATGAGAAACGGATTTAGAGACAGAACGGGAACGGATCGGGAAAGAATTCATTCCCAATGAGATCAACATTGACAAACGGAGTTATAGCAATGTAGCAATGGAAAAATCCGTTGTCATACAGACAAAAAGATCGTTGCTAAGCTGCCATAGAAACGCTCCAAGTTGACACGTATTGTTTTGGTTTCTGATCCGTTTCTAAAACAGTTTAGCAACGGACTGTAGTAATTTAGAAACGAAAAATTTCGTTTCTATTCCAATATGATATACGGCATGTCAAAAATTGTTTAAAAGTAATATCTACGTAGTAGATTATGAATATACATAAACATCTTGAAGTAATTATTGTATTGATGTACAGACTATAGAGTATTAATAATATTTTTACATTTTTCAGGAAACGGAGATCTTCTCAGATTTCTGCATCTCAAATTTTCTTTAAAAGTAAAAAAAATCAAAGTCATTAAACCCTGCATAACACGTAATATCAACTTAAGACTATCCGTCACATTGAGAATCTGGGGTTAGTCTTAATTCATTTAATTTGTATGACATCTTTTAAATTTCAGATACTAGTTAGGGCTTATATAAACCTAAACATCTTAGTTTCTGTTAGCAAGTTTGTGCAAAGATAGAGGTAATTTTAATATTTGACTAGTTAGAAATGCTTGGATTTTCATATGAAAATAATTTTTCTCTCTTTTTATGCATGTGAGTATGATATCTCTATCTCATACAATGTTAATTACTATGTTTTCCAAGTATAGCACATTACTTAATTTGATGATAGTAATAATTTCATGTCTACAGAAGAGAAGAAAAGAGTGGGAAATGATGACAGGGAACAGCATTTGCAGTTCAGAAAGATCGTCAACAGCAAGCAATGAATTTGATGGAAACAGAACTAATTTCAACAATGATAAGGATACTAATAGTAATTTCACAGTGCTGCTTGTGGATGCGGATAGTATCATGAGAGCAATCCACAAATTGATGCTCACAGAGCATGGAATGGAAGTCGTTGGAATGCGGATACAAATTGATGCTCACAAAGCAATCCACAAGCTGTCAATGGAAAAGAAGCTGTTGACCTTCATTGTCTTGGTCTTTCATATAATCTGATTGTTATGAACATGGAAATGCCTGTCATGCATGGCTATGAGGTAGTATAATATAACCCATCTTTATTTTTGTTCACATGCATTATTTTCGAGGTAAACCAGGAAAATTCATTTATTTTTGTAAGAGAAATTTTGATTTTCAGTTTTATAAAAAAATTGACTTTGTTTATTGATGTGATTGTTTTAAAAACAAAAGAAAAAATTGAATTATCAAAATTTTTTAATGAATATAATAAATTTTTAATTACATTTTGCATATAGATAATGGAATGAAATATATATATTAATTGGCAGCTTAATTATGTGCTAATCATTTATGAATAATAGGCTACGAAGGAGCTACGGGACATGGGCGTCTACTCTGCTATTGTTGGAGTAGTATCAAGAAATGAGGAGGCTGAAAATTTCATGGAAGCGGGCTTAGACGGCTGCGTTTCTAAGCCATTAAGCATTGAGAAACTGGCTCCATTCCTTCCATTTCCATCCACTGCTTCCACTGGCGAAAGCGATGATGACTATGACGGTGATGATCGTCAAAGCAGCACCAGTAGCAATGGCAACTAATCATATGTCTATTTCTCCAGAGAGAATATTTACCAATTTTTCTGTATCCACTTCAACAAATTTCGATTGGTCCTTTTTTTCTGTGCAAACCACCCATATCTGGATCCTATTATAAAAGACCGACTAAATCCGACTTGGGATTTAGTCACAGTTAAAACTCTTCTTTCACCCTTCTCTGCAAATGCATTTAGTGGGGATCGAGCCCGAGAGCACTTTCCACATACCCAACCTGTATTGCTAACTGAGCTACAATCCGTAGGTAAAGTTTGTTGGTCTTTTGGTCTGTATAAATTTGTGATATTGTTAAAATAACCTTAGACTTTCTTGGTACACATGATTATGGAAATGGCTTATGGTTCCTATGTTGTGTGTGAAGGCGCAACCCTCCCTAAGGGAAATGTATGGTACCACCTCTAGTTTCTCAATTTTTATAGACCAAAAAAACAGTTGAAATGATGCATTTTTAAATTGAAAATACATTTTATACAACAATTTATATGGCATTCCAAAAATGGTGTAAAAGTAAGATCTGCATACTGATGATGGTTTAAAAGTAAGATCTACAAGTTTCAAGAATGAGCGTTTGGCTGGTTTTTTTGAAAGAAATTGAACTTAATTGAGATCTCATATTGTTGGTTCGATTTAATTTTTTTTCAATTTTGTTCTTACTTTTAAGATTTCAAAAAAATTAAATTGAATTAATTTAGCATACTAAAGCATAGTCTAATAGTAAATACATGTGTGATCTGACAATAAATCCATATTCAAATGCCTTCTCCACCAATATTTGGAAAAAAATTGAATTAATTTAATTCTCTGTACAAACCGAACCAAATTGAGTCGAGCCCTAATCTACCAAATATAGTAAATGACATTTATAACATTTTACTTTTTTTAGACTACTAAATCAACATTTTACTTTTTTTTAGACTACTAAATCTACATAAACATTGTAGTAGATATCATTTATAATATTTTACCTTTTTTTAAACATAATTTAGATTTTTTCAGATTTTTCAGCATCTCGAATTTATTTCAAAAGTAGAAAAAAAATCAAAGTATCAGATTTTGTATTTAATGTAATGCCAACTTAAGACTATGCCACAATTTACAAATCGAACTAATTACTTTTCAAGGCTTATATAAACCCTAAACATCTTAGCTTTTTAGGCATGGATAGCAAATACACCTAAATTGAAAGGTAATTTCAGCATTTGAATAGTTAGAAATGCTTTTTTTTCTTAAACTTACTATTAGTTATCATTAGTGCACATTAACATATCCGAAGCTTATTTATAATAATTGGTTTCGGCTTTTTGTCATTTTTCTTGTTTCCAGTAATTTTTTTTTCTTGTTCTTCTTGTGGTTTATGTCTTTGTAATTTTCTGCATTATTCTGTATTTGTTTTGTTTCTCCACTTTTTAGTTTTTACAGGTTTTTATTTTTGTTTTTTGGTTTTCTATTTGCAGGTCTTTTTTAGCATTGATTAATATATTTGTATTGTCAAATTCAAATATATCGTTGTCAAAGTTCAGCTCAGCTCGATTCATTTACGACTTTAATCGTAGTCAATGACATATTCCCTATTGCAGTAGTCATTGTTGTCGTTGGTGGCACTTGTGGAGGGCAATGAAAGGTAAGAAGCAATTTTCTCGAGAGTTAATGGCTTAGAAATGCAGTTGTCTAAGCCTGCTTCCATGAAGTTTTTTTAGCTTAGCCTCGTCATTACTTGATATGATGCCAACAGACAGTGTCAGTGTTCATCTCTCCTAGTTGAAAAAGTTGAAAATGGTGATTGGAAAATGAATTTGCAGATGAAAAGCCTCATCATCAAGAGTGAACAAAGAAAATGATGGAAATAAGAAGAATGTCACTAATTATATGAATAAATATTAATTTCACTGTGTTTGTCGTAGATGGTGATACTATTGTGAGAGCAATTCACAAGTTGTTGATCTTCATTATAAAAGTACTAATGTTGATCTTCATTTCAACATTTTAGCTAGCAGTTTGTGGATTGCTCTTGCAATAGCATCATCGTCTACGATACGTATAGTGAAATTAGTATTTATTCATATAATTAGTGACATTCTTCTCATTTCCGTTATTTTCTTTGTTGATTGTTGATGATGAGGCTTTTAAATTGTAAATTCCTTTTCCAGTCACCATTTCCACTTTTTTTTCTCGTAAGTCATCAACTAGGAAACATGGACACTAACACCGTCATTGTTGGAGTCATCTCAAGTAATGAGGAGGTTAAGCTGAGAAACTTCGTGGAAACAAGCTTAGACGACTGCGTTTCTGAACCATTAACTCCCGCATTGCTTTCCACAGACGCCATCAAGCAATGACTACTACAATGGGGACTGTATTGTTGACTATGATGAGGATGTTTCATGACATTAGCAACAACGACAACTTATTATCTATCTAGTTCATCGCGGTAGAAATAACTGAAATGAAGTTTTTGAATCTTGGTCTATATATATATGTGCTACTTTACTTTTTTTTTTTTTTTTTTTTTCTAATTTGTTAGAAATTAAATTTCACTTTTTTTTTTTTTTTTCTAATTTGTTGAAATAAATTTCTTATACATGTATGCAGGTTTATCAAATTTATAGAAGAAAATAACTTTTATGCAGATTGGATGGTTGATCTTGGACGGACTTTTCCTATGTATGGTTGTTCATGTTTTTGGAGATCCACTTCAAGAAATAAGCTGCCTTCTGTTGTTTAACTATGTCCATTGATTTTTTTTTTTTTTAAGTTTATATATATCCATTTGTGTTTATTAATAATGTAAAAGATTACCTATGACTTGTGGTTGAGTTGGTAACGCAGGCTGGACATGTGGAAAGAGCTCTCGACTTTGATCTCCACTAAACACACCTGCAGAAACTGGTAATAGGGTCTGGATACCGGTTGTTTACACAGAAAAAAAAATGCATGATTTCTAAGGAATTTCAATATGATTTTCTTTTTCTAATTTTATTGTTTCTATTTAGCTAATTTATAAAAATATAAGTTTAGGTTTTAGAATGAAGTTGAAATAATAATAACCAACAACATCATAATATAGTCATTGTTTTGTGGATAGAGATACCATATTTGCATATACATAATAATAAGAGAGCAAATTATCATTTATATGAAAATAAAAACATTTCGAAATAGTAAACTTATCTCTACATATACTTGCTAATCTTGTTTCATAAACTAAGATGTTTAAGGTTCATATAAGCTTCGAAAAGCAACTGAAATTTGTTACTTTTTCAGTTTAAATCTAAGTTTATTTTTATTTTTTTAACTCTAATTGATGCTCTATATTAGTAATGAGCTGAATAGTACAAATGACTTTATTGTTATAAAATTGAAGTTCATGGAGTTTTAAGTGACAAATCGATGTCTTAGGATGATAAAATCATGTCAACCTAAGTTAAGGAATAGACGAAAGTAAATAACCCTAAATTTGAAACGAAAAGGTAACAAATCTAGTTACTGAAATCAAACGAGATAGATCAATTAGAAAGTCCATACAAATGTATGCAAAGAAAGAAATAATTGTAGTTTTTGAAATTCTTTTATTTTCATATAAAAATATAGTTTGCTCTCTTTATTATTATGTATGTGTGAATGTGATATTCCTATCGACAGACAAACACTATATGTTGAATTGTCAACTTTGATGCTGTCTTTTTCCTTCATTCTCTGCCATTTGTTGGTGTCATCTCAAGTGATTAATGAGGAGGCTGAGCTGCAAAACTCAATGGATTCTGGCTTAAATGAGTGCATTTCAAATCCATTAAGTATTGAGAAAATTGCATCTTTCCTTCCATTTCCATTAAGCAATTAATGATGTAATTATAAATAAAAAAAAATATTTCCATCATCTTTTAAATTATCGTCTGACTTTGATAAAAACTTAAAAAAAAAAAAGTTGAAAAGTTCCATTAGGCTAAATAAATAATATTGCGTATTAAATTTTATTTTTTAATATAAATACGCTCATTAATGATTTAATAACATAAATTTCTATTACTTTATGAAAAATACTCAAGTATTGCATAAAAATTAAAGTCATGAAATATAATTTTTTAGTTACGTGTTTTGTTTTATATTATGTATATTTTAAGGTTAAAAAAAAAATCTAATTGTTGTAATTTTTAAATTGATAATATAGTCAAATTTATTTATTTAATAAAAAAATAAATAAATTCTTAATTATTTTAATTTTACATATCATACATCATATTTTTTTTATTTGCAATTTCTTCTTTAATTGCAAATAAAGATAAAGAGGTGGTGAAATTACGGTAAAAAACGAAGATTTTCTTTATCATACAGAAGTTTATATTGACCTTTAGATTAACACAATTCAAATATAAGTCCTTAGATTAATATATCATTAGGCTCGTGTAAAGCATTGAGCAAGCTTAATTTTTCTAATCAATTTATGTGGTAAATTTTTTTTTTTTTTTTTGGAAGAATTTACATGGTAAATTTAATAATTCATCAAGTTATTCAAAATTAAAATATATATGTTACTTAGTTTTCTTACACTAAATGTGTAAACTTTAAATATTATACTACTATTGAAAATTATTTTTTGTTGGTAAAATAATTTTAAAACGTATAATTATGAATAAAAATCATAAAAAAAAAAAGATATACTCACGACAAGCTAGGACTTGATGGGCATTTGAAAATGTTGGGGGCCCAATGGAAAGTCTTGAACAAAGGAAAAATTAATGTGAGGCGTACATTGAAAAGGATTAAATTTTAAGCTACGGTATATAGTTTTATCCATTACATTAGCCAATGAGCTAAATACAACTCATTATTTCCCTAGGCCCATGGGCTTTAGTTAATGTGATTGGTTGCATGGTTCAGAGATTGTATTTAACTTCTTTTGACCCATGCTTCTCTCCTGTAACCAAAAAAAGATTTAGTTAATGAATTTTAATTTTAAAAATCTAATTGTTAAATTGAATTTATGAACTGATACAATTATTAAAATTTCTAATAAATTTTATAATTTAATTTTTACATTCTTCAACTATTTAATATTCAATATGTATTTTTTTTATCAGCAGTATATTTTTATTTTATTAATTTATATCCATTAAAAACTTAGCATTTCCAAATTTCTAAACCCAAATTATTAGGTTGTCCAAATATACTCAACCTAACTCAAAAATGCTAAATAAAAAAAAAAAACCTAAAAAATCTCAATTTACATGTGATTTATCTCTTTTTGAGATAAAAAGACAAATAAAATTCCAAAAACACAACATTACAACAATATATCAAATCAAAATCAAGCTAGAAAATCATTAGATACTTCAATATCCTTCTTCACTAAAGAATCCGCAAAACAATTTTATTCTTTAAAACCATGCTGAAATTGAAAATTTAAGAGGTTCCGACGAATCAATCAAATCTAT